ATGCGTTTCAAAGCAAAGCAAAAGGTGGAGTAGGCAGTGACACTATGAGTGTTAGCTTGCCTGGTGAAAGCATGGATGGAAGCTATCATTCCGAAGAGCTCCTGATGGATGTTGAAGGTCATCCCGCAAGTGGTCATGTAAGTGCAATTTTCTTAGAAGAGGAAATGCCTACAGGCCATGATGACAATGAAGGTTACATGGAAGCGGATGAAGATCCTCTAGCTCTAGGATTTGACATTGATTGGGCTGTTGGAGAAGGAGAGGAAGAGCGTGCATCACATGAGTCCCAAGAAGATTTGCCGTTCGTAAAGAGTTGGGCGAACCGCAAGTATGAGGAAGGTCCTCCTGTTCTTCATCCAGATCAGCTAAGGAAGCTGGACGAAGCAATGGATCAAGTGGAGTTGAACCGATTAGTCAAGATGGGAGTTCTTAGGCCGATGTCTGGTGAAGAAAACATCGACGGCATGACTAACTTGCAGTCGAAGTACGTGCGAGATTGGCGACTCCGTCCGAGTGAAGATGGCAAGTCTTGGAGTTGGGTTAGAAGGTCACGACTTGTGGCCAAGGAATTCAAGTTCATTGACCCTCTCATGGAAAACTTGTATTCGCCTGGATCTTTAGCGTGTCTCCAAAAGGTTTTCGCTGGACTTTGCTTGTACACGGGTGACATCAAGGATGCCTACTTGACTGTCCCTCAACAAGGCTCAACGGAGGCCTACGTTCATTCGTCATGGAGAACTGATCTTTGAGCTCAAGTTTAACTTGCCAGGTCAACGAGCTGGAGCTCGAGACTTCTACAACAAGTTGGCAGGGATTCTCAAATCTGACAACTTAGAGAGTTACGAAGCTGCCCCAGCGTTGTTCATTGAACCCAAGAGTATTGGCGTGAGTACTCATGTTGATGACTTTGAAGTGATTGCTGAAACTCCTCGTGTCGATCGCTTGAAGAAGAAGCTGACAGCTAGTGGCCTGAAGTTTTCGTTGGAAGGACCTTGCACAGTTGAAGGTGGTGAATGTCATTTTCTCAAAAGAAGGTTCGTTGGCAGATGGTGTTGTGGTGAGTCAAGACTCGAAGCACGTAGACAAGCTTGTTGAGTTGCTTGGCCTGCAGAAGGCATCAGGCAAAACGACTCCGTGTCCGATGAACGTGAATCACACCAAGGTTGACAGCAAGCCTCTAGATCCTGAGCGGCGTGCATTGTCTAGAACCTGCGTAGGTATTCTCCTATACGTGGGTCAAGACCGTCCAGAAAGCTTGTGCGCGATCAAACAGCTAAGCAGATGTTGTACATGTCCAACTGAGTCTGATTGGTCGCTGCTCAGACACCTTGTGAAGTTTTTGAAAGCACACCCCAGTCAAGGCATCAAGTTGACACCATGTAGGCCAGGAAGAACTCTGCAACAGAAGTGCAGAGGTTTGGATTCCAAAGTCCGTGAGAGCAAGGACAATGCCGTTAGAGAAGGACACCTTCTCGAAGCTATATCTGGCGCCAGCTGGGCTGGGAGCGAGACAAGAAGAGTATGTCGGCAATGACAATCTTCTTGAGTGGCAATCTGATTCATGCTTCGAACAGAAGGCAGAGGAGTGTAACCTTGAGTTCTTGCGAATCTGAGCTACATGGGTCCTTGGCAGCTGTGCAAGAGGGAATCTTCTTGAAGAGAGTTCTAGAACGTCTTCGTGGATGTGAAGTTCAATTGCAACATCGTGTAGACTCCTCATCGTGTAGAGCTGTTATTTCGAGACAAGGTTTGTCTCGTCTTCGGCATGTGGAGATAGCCTACCTGTGGATCCAAGAAAAGCTTAAAGCTGGTGAGTTCGTGACAGGAGCGATCAGTACAACATTTTGTCCTCTAGATCTATTGACAAAGCCTACAAGCGGATCCAGAACGAAGTTGCCTTGTTACATGTTGGGTGTGGTCCAAGATGGTGAGCTGGTAGGTTAGACTGAATTTGATGAAGAATTGGTACGTCATGAGTTGAAGCGAGTTGCGAAGGTTGAGAGCAAGAGTACCCTGCAGGCGATTCGTCAAGTGATTTTGAGTGCATGTGTTTTCATGGAAGCGACACACACAGCAGAAGGTCACAGTCTTACAGTACTTTACGTAGGAAGTCAGGACGAGACATGTTTAGATTCCATCAAGCACATGTCGTTGATGAACGTGGAGAAAGCTTCGGTCAGCGTGGCAGCAATCCTGGTCTTCCTGTTCTTGGTGATGACCCTGGTAGTTTGCCTAGCGGATCTGAAGTTTCTTCGTCCGCCAAATCAAAGGCACCTCCGACTCCCTTCTCGGCTTTTGCTCAATGTCGTGATCTTGATTCTGACGATAGCAGTTCCAGTGAGAGCCTCAGAGTCCTGAGACCAAAACGAAGAAGACACGTTTCTGCCAGAAGCAGGATATCTTCAGAGTCGAAGAAAATCTTGGCAAAGTGGATTCGGAAGTACAACAATGATCAACGAGATGGTCATGATGTTGCCGCAACCAACAGAAGCTTTCACTCTTGGAGACCATTGGGCAGGTGATTCCTGATTCAAGGTATAGCACGGATCCCATTTTGGTAGAAACTGTGAGGTCTTGGACGTCTGATCTTGAAGCCGAGAATCTAAGTGTGAAGCAAGCGCCGCTTTACACAGTGGCCATATTGCTCTCCTTGGAGCTGCTGGTCTGCGCTACTTCGCAGGCCCTTGGGCCTCGCTTTGTAGCATTCTGCGATTTGCTGATGATTTGGGCTACACTGAGAGCGGATGACCTGCAGCGTGTGGACTTGAAATCAGTCAAGCCTTCGCAGCTGGGACTCAAATTTTGTCTGCGCAAAACGAAGACAAGTGGCCCTGGTCGCAAGGTTGGCGAGCTCTTCGCATATGTTTCACGTTCAGCTGGTTTGAGTGGTTTTGACTGGCTTTCCGAGGGAATGCGCCTCCTCTCTAACAAGCAGCTGGCTTGGCCACGTGACTATTTCTGCCCAGTGCTGAGCGACGCTTGGGAAGTGTCAAGAAAGGGTTTCCTGGGAGCTGGTGGTCTGGCCATCTTGATTCGAAAAATGTTGGGGTGCTTGCGTGAGCCCATCGCGAAATCTGGGGCTTAGGCTACGTCCCGCAATTTCTTGGTGCCGGACACACTGCGTACATACTGGAGTGGACATAGCGCTCAGCACATGTTGCCTAGCATTGCAGCAGCACTGGGAGTGGAGAAAGATCGCAGGGACTTTCTTGGCCGCTGGTGCTATGCGCAACATGGCTCGCAGGACTATATCCTGACTTCACGTCAGGTAGTGCAGGGGATCCAGAACTTGGTGTCAAAGTCTCTTCTGGAAGGCAATGCAGAGGGCGGTTACATCGAGGAGGAGGTCTTTGCGGGAGTGAAGCAAGCTTGCGCAGATCTCTCGCTCGACCAGGCAGTGGTCCTACGGAGGCACGCTGTTTCGGAGTGGGATGCAAGTGCAAAGACCTGGCAACTGTTTGGGCGTTTTCCTCACATTATGATTCCGCCAGAGCAACTCAAAGGAGCGGCAGGTGACATTGCAAGATTGCCGGGGCCTTATCAAGCTTGGAGCGCGGAGGAAGGCCTGGGAGACTCACCCTACTTTGTCATTGTTTCCCGGAAGGGTTATAGGCGTTTGCATCTTGCCAAGGGTTGCGCAGTTAGGCAAGAACGGTGCATTGAGACTATTGGCATCCACTCACTGGAGGATGCATCGGCTGATTCCATTCGTAAGCTGTGTAAGCCCAGTCCAGCTCCGTCGTCCGAGGCTCCTGCTGAGTCCCGTGGCGGTTGAATGGATTTTGATTCGGGAGAGCGGTGAAAATCGGCTGGATGCTTGTATTTAGTACTTGTCATGTCTTGACGGTGGTTGAGAATTGTTGAGCTCTTTGCACAGCTTGATTTGGCTCGGGTGAAAGCGAGTCGGACCTTCTGGTTGAAGAGAGGGATTACTGTCAAGAAGGCAGTAGAGAGGATCCTTGGTGGAAAGGGCCTCTTCTTTTGAGTGTTAGTTTCTTTGTTCTTGTGCCCTGGAGGAGAGGGCCTCCCTGGTTGTGGGAGCACTAATTGTGCACTACTAGTGGATAGGTCATGAGCGCAATGGATTTGCCTGCAGGTGTGACTCAGGATAAGGTTCTGGATTACTTCGATAAATAAAAAGATGACCACGGAGCTTCTGCGCATCTTTAATGAATGTGGAGTGTCGGTCGGGCTTCAATACAAGCTGGGTCAGCATTTCACTACAGTGAAGAAGTTTGCTACGTTTGCTGATACGAGATCAGATGTGCGTGCTGCCCTCAAGGCAGATCATTCCTTGGAAGCCGCTGGCCAGGAGACGCGCGCTGCTGTGGCGGCCGTTGTCTCCGCATGGGAGTCCTGTCGAAAATTCTCCTCTAAGGAGAGTGAGTTGAAAGCTGAGGCCGGGTGCTAGGGGTCAGCCGGCCTATCACCCAGACTGAGCATCAGGCCATGCGAGCATCATTCGAGAAGACCTTCGGTGGCATTGATGAGGTGGTCGAACCGTCAGCTGATTACCTCTCAACGAAGATGGAGGAGGTAGAGAATGGAGAGATCATTGCATCACCTCTGTCAGATGTGACAAGCAAGCGTAAGGCCAAGACTCTGGGCATACAGACCAGTGTCGACGCTGGGGGACATGTCCGGATCGTCAAACAGCGGAGCAAAGGTTCTCTTCCTCAAAACACCGAGGAACTTCGCGCCATCCTTCGAGTGGAAGGCAAGGCCTGGGTCTTCTTGGGCAGCAAGTATCGCAACAAGGTTTTCTTCAAAGACATGACTCAGACTGATCAAGTGGCTCTTCGGCCACCTTGGACCATGATGATCAGCTATGAGTTCGAGCTTCGCAAAGAGGCCGTCAAGCGGGCATTCCGTGATTCGCGCCCGCTCTCAGAGACTTTGCGTGAGGTACAGGGCGATGCGCAGCTGAAGGAGCAATTCTTCACTTCCCCCAGTGCTCTGCAGAGCCGCAGCATGCGCACGTGGTTCGAGCGTCCCAATTATGGACAGCCGTGGAAGTGGCGAAAGGGAGAGAAAGGCCCTGGTAAAGGCAAAGGAGGACACGCGAAAGGGCAAGGATCAAAAGGGAAAGAGAGGCAAGGGCAACGGAGAGCTGGCAAGCCGCGCTCCAGATGGACGCCTCATCTGCTTTGCATATTTGACATCCGGATGTCCAGGTGACTGTGGCATGGTGCATTGTTGCCAAGTTCGAGGGTGCTTCGGACAACAAAACCATTGGAAGCATTGGCAGGATCATTTTGCCAAAAACGACGCCAAGGCCACGGACAGCAAGAACTGACTTCGGATTCTGTACCTGTTTAGTGGGGTACAGCGTGATGGCGACATTGCATGGCATTTGCGCGAATTCAGCAAAATTCATGGTTTTCAGCTGGAGATGGATGATGGGATATCCGCAGAGACCCTTCCTTTGATCTGTCCTCGGCTCATTCTTGGCATTGCATCTTGGAGAAAATCAAGTCAGGATATTACGATGTTGTCATGCTTTCACCTCCCTGCGGGTCTTACAGCCGAGCCCGACATCGTTCCTTGGGGAAAGGGGGACCTGTTCCATTGAATTGAGAAGCCTCCTTTATCCTTGACTGCTAATTTCTTCGTGAAGCAGAGCTTTCTGGCTAGGGAAGCTCAAATTCAGGCCAATAAGTTCTGGTTGCTTGAGCACCCCGAGGATTTGGGGAAGACAAAATCCGGGGAGACACCAGGCAGCATCTGGCAGCTTCCTGAGCTGCGTGCACTAGTTGACGTGTCAGGATCCACTTGGGCTGTTCACCAGTGTGTTTACGGAGCAGAGACTTCAAGACCCACTAGATTAGCCAGCAACTTGCCCGCTTGCCTGGATCCATTCTTCAACGAAGTTGGGGACTATGCAGGTCCTCTAGGCTGCTGCCCTCATGGGTCGCACCCACCTTTAGTGGGATTTCGTGATGAATGCCCTGACGGCACCGTGTCTCGCTTGGTGCAAGGTGTGCCCAGTTGGGGTGTCTTCTTGGATGTTGCCAATTCTCCCCAGGTTCTGGACGCGCGCCGTTGCTTTCACTGCACCGAGCCCTGGTAAGGCAACCGAGTTGTCCTCATCGGCTTCTCTGTGGACGTGTGAGGGCTCTCCACAGCTGATACCCGACTCCTGCTGCAACTTGGTTTCGTTTTGGTTCCAGCCCCTTCGGAAGGGGATAGGCTAGACCCAATTCCTGCCTTCCCTCCTTTGCCCCCTAAGGGTTTTGTAGACCCGGCCCCTTTGCCACTTGTGCCTACTTTCGGATGATGCGCGTAATCCCGGTTCATGCTGCGTCTGCACCGTCTCAGGTTTCCTCCTGCGGAGCAGGTGCAAGGTTCAGCAGTTCTTCCAGTTGAGTGTATGGAAGCACAAGTCGTTTCTTCGGAAGAAGAGCCTTCTATTGACGAAGCTTTTGATCCATTTACCAGCCGTCTTAAATGTAGGCGTGGCACCGGGGAGAGAGAACTGGTGGACGGTCAGAGATGGATCACGGATACTCTGTTCAAAAGGCTCTTCGTGAGTTTGTGGTTGCTGAGCTGGGGGATACTAGGAAGGCTGCATTTGCCCTCGCCTCTGGCCACTTGAAGGTATCGCCCTTTAAAGACTCAAGCCTAGGTCGCCTGAGGAGGTCCATCGCAGGTTTGTTGCCTGATCCTGAGTTGGCTCTTGAACGCACGTCGGGGCAGCCTTTCTGGCTTCACTTGCTGCGCCAATCTTTGGTCATCTTGGGAGATCCGGATGCGGCAAGTCTTGTTGATGGTGATTGCTCCTTCGCAGAGGGAGTGCACTTGGGAGATGAGTTCCCCACTGCCCGCGCGCGTCGCTTTCAGATCTTTGGATGTGACTGAGTTTGAGCCAGATATGGAGTATACTCTTCTGCTGAGCTTTCTGCTGATCAGCTCGAGTTCCGGGATGAGCGTGCTGGCTTGATGATGCCGACCACTGAGGCTTCGGTGGAGGCCGAGTTCGGCCCGGGCCGCCGTTTGGTTGCAGCAATGGGTGCCGTGTCCAAGCCCAGTTGTGAGGTGAGACCACTTCACGATGCCACACACGGCGTAGGGCTCAACAATAAGATTCACGAGGCTGCGTTCGCGATCTCTGCGGACATCTCCCAGGCGCACAGGCGTGTGAAGGTGCGCAGGGCTGATTGGCCAAAGTTGGGATGCCGTTCCACGTCTAGCTCCCGCACCATTTGGCTTAATCTGGTCGGAACCTTTGGAGTTTCTTCAGCGGCAGTTTGGTGGGCCCGTCTATTTGGACTTATTGGCCGCTGGGTCCTGAGGGTGATGCTTACTTTGTGGAACATGCAACTGGTTTACGTTGACGATTTGCATCTCCTCGCTGCCGGGCCCGACAAATTCTTGATCCTTTGGATGATCCTCGCTGCGTGCGAGGTTGTGGGGACACCTTGTGCATATCACAAGTTCAAGAGAGGTGTCGCGGTTGATTACATAGGGTATCACGTGTCGTACACCACTTGGAGTGCAGGCGTCTCTGATTCCCGTGCTCGTTGGATCATCTCTTGGACCAGCAACGATGAGGAAGCAGGCTGGGTTGTTGTTGGGCGGACCGTGATTGAGCCCGCTGGCAGACTTACGTTCGTCGCCCGCGTTCTGCCTTGGTTGAAGCCCTTTCTTGCACCTTTGCATTCTTGGACTTCGGTCCTTGCCAGGGGCACAGCTTGCCGCATGCCTGCCCTAGTTCATTTGTCGCTGATTTACATCCGCGTGCAATTGATGGAAGGCCGTCGCCTTGTGCCTGCCCCGTTGAAGCCTTCATCCCTTAGGCAGGCCTTCAGGACTGATGCCAAATGTGAACAGGGTCGTGTCGTTTCAGGGGGTTGGCTCCTAGGCGTTGACGCTGATCCATCTATTGCCAAATGGTTTTGCGTTGAGCTGACTCCGGGACAAGTTCCCTGGCTGTTCAAGGAAGATTACGCCCAGTAGAAGTCTTCCAGCGCGGAGCTGCTAGCCACTTACATGGCATGTGTCGCTTTCGCGTCCGATCTATGTGTGAGCGAGTGCGTTCTTCCTGCGATCATCACCGCTGGGACTGACAATCGTTCCAATCCCCAGGCACTTGAAAAGGGTTCTTCTATGAAGTGGTCTCTGATGGGCATACTGATGCAGTTCTCTTCTCACCTGGCTGCCTTGGCGGTCGTGTCAAGCTCCAGTGGCGTCCTAGGGAAGATGACCTCGCAAATTGCCGTTTCGATCGCTTTGACCTGGGCCTCAGTGTGGAGGCCTCATTTGAAGACCTTCCGATGCCAATTTTTAACGCGCTTCAGGCTGCGCAGGCTGAGTTTGTTGAACTTAAGGCCGATCAGAAGTTGCGTGCGCCGAAGTCTGCTCCGACTTCCAATTCCAAGAAACAAAAGCTTTCTGAGAAGACTGCGTGGTAGTGTCCGTTGTTCTTCATCTCTCACCACACGCCTGCGGCGCGGGTTGAAACATGCGGCTCGTGATGAGCTCACTTGGTGACGTGAGTGAGGTTTGAAGGCTGTGGTTGAAGCATAGGTTGGAAGGTTCTCGTGAGTTTGGAGCCCAGCCACCATCCTGAAAAAAGACCGTCTTGCGCTGTGCAAATTTTATATCTTGATTAGTTTGAGAGTTTTCGGGAGGAAGAATTTTGATTTGATCAAGATACTGATTGTGGAAGATTCCTGAATGATTATTATAAATACCATCTGGCTCAATCCGACGGACAAGCTCCTTGGGTTTCCCAATGGGTTTGTCTGAAGGATTAGCTGGGTGGGTGGGTGGGCCCCCCCTCCTAGTCAAATGTGCTTCCACGTGCGCCTGGCTTGATGCCATAGGAAAAACCACTTTACTTGGTGTCAGTTCGGTTGCGCATTTTCACGGTTGTGACTGAACGAGTTTTCATGTCTTGCCTTGCCTTGACACTTCCGTGGTTGATGTGGATTGTGGCACAAGACTTTTGTAATTTTGGTCCCACCCTGCCCGCCCTAATGCTCGCTGGATGCCCGTGTCTTTCCCAGCACTCCTCTGTAGTCTTGTGCCTAGGGTTTATTAAGTTTTTGCGTCTCCAATATGGAGTTCTTGGACTTGCGTCTTGAAGAGACAAACTCTTGAGCGCACAACAAGTAGCGTGCAGATACATGATCAACCTCCGCCGAGGTGTACAGGATCATGTGCGTAGAAGTTTGCAAGGTTGTCAGGTACATGTGGCAAATTTTGTATCTTGATTAGTTTGAGAGTTTTCGTGAGGAAGAATTTTGATTTGATCAAAATACTGATTGTGGAAGATTCCTGAATGATTATTATAAATACCATCTGGCTCAATCCGACGGACAAACTCTGGAGGTCGCCCTACTTGCAAAGTTCTTTGAGTCTCAATGAGATACGGTTGCTTTCCGAACGGAGTGGAAGGTCGATGCCAACAAGGAGCATCGACTACGTGGCCATGCAGGCGGACGGAACCAAGGTTATCGTAGACTGGAAGCGCGCGCGGAATTTGGCAGAAAAATGCAATTCTTTCGCGTGCAGCTGAACGTTTACCGCTATATCTTTCGGCGCTACCGCTTTGAGACTGTGTCTGGGATGTACATTGTAGGGAGCAATCCGGACAGTGCGCACGAAGACGCGTTCCCGTGTTGGATGCGGCGACAGCGGCGCTTATGGAAACTTGCGGGTGAGCGTGCAACGGGCGGTGGCGTGCTCGGCTTGCTCGGCTGGAGTCTCGTGCCAGACGACGCGCGAGCTTTCAAAACATTGCGAGGCAAGACCCAGCTTGGAGTTCCCTGGTGTGCACGCTCGATCCGTGATGGAAAGACGTGCAATTTTCCTGTTGTGCTTTCTAGGTGCCAGACTGAGTAGGACGCTAGCTCGGGCGAAGCGGTGCAGGGTTGTATCACTTGGTGATCTGTAGTTCTGTAGAGACTGTTCCTGGGATTAAAAAGAGCCAGTCGCCGGATGATTTTCATGTTGCTAGAAAATGCTTCACTGATGGTAGACCTACGTGAGTCATGAAACTTTGCATTTGTCAGGAACCTGCTAGCGTGTCTTCGATGTGGTCCAGGCCTTGCTGCTGCAGCCGCCGCAGTGAAGCCTTCTTCGTGCCCTGGGACCTGTTTCTCTCAGGACCGGACGACGTTGTCACATGGCCATTTCGCGCACGTAAAACCAATGGCTTGGAGCCTGGTTTCATTGTTTCGTTCCCATGGCTTAGCGCTGGCACTTTACAACCCACGCTCAGGTGTTTCATCACTGAGCAGATCATTCTGTCTACACGAATGACCAGCTCGCGGTATTTTTTTTCTCTTCGCGTTCGCGTTGCCAGCTTCTTGCAGCGTTCGGAACAATCGTTTCCGCTTTCTCGTAATTCGCCGTATCGTCGCGAGTGAACATTTTTTTTCATTTTTTGTTTTTTCTTTATATTCTTTCTTCGAATATATCTCGTCCTTGATTCGCCGGGCGACGGTATCCTAATCGTAGCCCACGTGAATTCGGGCTAAACTACACATGTGGGGTTCTCCGGTCCTTTAATTTTGCATGCCGGTCTGCAGGCGTGCGAGTTCACATGCTTCCATCAAGCTGCTAGTGGAGTGGATGGCTTGACAGGCACACACCTGCTGAGTTTGCAGTGTCCCCCCTTGACTCGTGCATTTGTTTATCTGTTCAATTGTCTAATTATCCGTGTATCAACGTTTATCTACGTACCTATCTCTTTATCTATCTAAAACTACCTATCTATTTATCCTACCAATCTATCTATGTATCTTTCTTTGCGTTCCTGTGTCTGGTTACCGGTTGGAACCCACATCCCACACGCTGCGTCCCTTCTCCCAGCTCCTCCAACGTTCTTTACCACACTTGGGCCCACACTTTGCGCAATCCTGCGCTTGCACAGGCGGCCCTGAGCCCCTGGATTCGACGTGATTGCCCCTGCCCGCTTTGGTAAAAAAAACACCGCGGTAATCTAGGGGTACTGGGATCTCGGAGTATGTAGGGCAAGTGTCTACTATTGTGGCCAATAGAACAACATATGTTGGGGTGCTGTGCTTTTTTTAATATGCATAATACCCACTTCCATTGTACAGGAGGGAAGACATTTTTTCATGTGTGTTTTGTGGCGACCTTTTTTGTTTGAACTTAATTTTGGCATTATTTCATTTTGGACCAGTTTTGGAAACCTGATTTGTTTTTGTGGTCTTTTCCACCTTTTGGGGCCTAGCAGTGGGAAATACTTGTTGACGTTTTTTTCCCTTGAGTCCAGCGCTGGAAAATAGATGTGCTCTACACAGTGTCTTTCACTTTTTGGGTTCAGCTAGGCAAGATACAGAGTTGTTTTCCGGAGTCGTTTTCACCTTTATGGTCCCGCTCTGGAAAACAGATTTGTTTTCCGCCGTCTTTTTTACATTTGGGGCCCGGCTCTGGAAAACATGCATTCTCCAAGAATATCTGGCTGACAAATCAGTGTTTTGCAACAAAAAAAGTGCCGAGAACAACTTGTTTGATGCATGTGTGTTTTTGTTGGAACAAGCAGACATGAATGCTGCGAGGATTCATGCGCTCTTGGGCTTTCTGAAGGCATAAATGTATACAGGCCCATGATTTGCATGTCACGGATATTATTTCCAAATGAAAAGTTTATTATGTGCAGGGCAATGATGTTTGCTTACCAGCCTATAATTTTCGTTGATTTGAGCAGCGCAATGTTCACTTCTCAAATACCTAGTTTCGTTGGGAACATGTGCCACCAAGCCCATTCACATCTGCAAGCCTGGATTCACGGACTATGAAGCTGAAGACGAAGTTCTGGATGTGAATGATGATCCTACTCTGGATGATGTACCGTGCAGGCCAATGGAGGGAACGAAGGTGGAAGATGCCGGTTTCTATGGGCGTTTGCTGGAAACAGTGCACCATCGCATATTTCAAGCATGGCTTGTGAGCAAGCGGCAGCCCATGCCCTTTGAGTGGGGCAGGGCTGAAGTGTGCGTGCAACCTTAGCCTAGAGCTTGTTGCAGAAGCCTAGGCAAAGATTGCAGCTGAGAGACTACAGCCTTATCTAATTGCAGTCGTCGAACGCTTTGAACAATTTGCGCCTGTGCATGGCATAGAGGTACATGATGCCGTTACCAGAGCCACGCCCCACTGTGCAAGCGCTCGGAACATCATGGCCTTCCACAAACAATCCAGCAGGGCCAGGGAAGCCGAGGGGTACAAAGGGGGCTTGACACAATTGGGAACAATTTTGAAGCGCGATTACGAAAATTACTGTTATGTGTCCACCTTACGTTTTTTAATGTTGCACAATTGCATGGCACGTCAGGTCTCAAGAGCTAGCCATCTGTCAGCGAAGCCTACCAATGGAAGTAGTGATCGTATGTTGGAGCATTCTGCGATTTGCAGCCACACGTCCATTTGTTGTATTTCGGATGGTTCCACGCTCGATCGAAGTTCTGCGTGGAGCAAATGCTTACATCCCTGGCCGTGCTACGCTGGTTTTGGATGATTGATGCAGCATTTCCAGCATTCGAAGTTTTCCGTTTCGGTTTATGTACTGACACATTTTTGTTCATGTACCAACTTGCTAAAGTACCAGGTTGATCTGAGGTTTGACTGCCAATTGCAGACGATCGCAGAGTCGAGCCCCGCATGGTTTATTTGGCTAGATTGAAAACGAATTGTTGGCCCTTTGTACTATAAAGCTCTACCCAACTGATATGGGGTTGCGTCCAGAGATCCCTTGTCATTTCAGTTAGTGGAAGTGGGTGAGAATTGGGTGTGCCGCCATGCGTCTTCGTCCCGGCTTCTTGCTCTTGTCTGGAGCTCAAGTCTAAGGAAGAATCAACCTTCAACATTTGAGGCAACGGTCATTGCTGTTGCGATCACCACTTGCTGTTACTTTCATTATTACAGTGAAGATTGGAAGTAAGAATGATCCACGGCCAAAGTGCGCTTCAAGTATAACCAATATAACAACTGTTAGAATTGCTGTTAAGCCAAACAATCGTGCGCTTTATTCAGCAGCGGTGCATAGCCGAGGGCATTCCTTACCGTGCCCCTCTTCCTCGCCTTTGCTGGGCAAGGCAGAGTCAGGAGTCCCCTTAGACAAACATGCGGGGCTTGTCATCCACCATTGCAATGCTGTATGCATTTGAACGACCTTGGTGGTAAAAGGAAAAGAGCAAGAAACGCTGTCCAGCAAAATGTGCAGTCGACCTAGAGTTTCCCAAGATTTTGCATCCCAACTACGCATATGATTTCTTTGCAGGAGCGGATCGAGATTGGCAAGGCTGCAATGTAGCAGTATGGCTTGCGAGCTGTGAGTGCAGCAATTGGAGGAGTGGCTTGCAACCAGTGTGGGGATCCGACTCTGCAATCTGTTGTAGCCTTGGCCACTTGCGTTGAACAAACTAAGAACCTTGAAAATTCAAGCATGCACCGGCGACCTGCAAGCATTTGGGCTTTTCTTATGTATCAACCCGTGGTGTGTCCGCACAGGCAGGCCGACGTGGACAGCAACTCGCCAGCAAAGGTGAACAACTGCTTTATCCGAAAGCTCCCAAACACTATAAGGTCAGTGCAGTAGATGCTTTTTGCAAGCTACTTGATTGAACTTATGACACCAGGCTTGCCGTAGCACATCGGGGGTGCCAGCACACGCCAAAATTGCTTCGAGGCGAAGCTGCGACGCCACTTGCCAAAGGTGACCAGGTGGGTCTTGCAGCAAGGGCTTCTCAATTCCCAGTTCATAGCCAACCCCACCATCAAGTTCAACCCAAATCAAAACAACCCCCTATACCACAATCAAAATCATAACAATCAACCGATACCCATATCTATATCATAATGCTGAACTGGGAAATGCCCCCCTAATCCAAAAACCTCCCTAAAGCCCTTAACCCTGAACTGGGAAATGATAGAGAGTAGCAACTCTCTAAGCTTCGCGCCCACTACGTAGGATTTTACCAAAGTTAATTAGTAGAATGCTATTATTCTGGCCAGAGTTTTACCATCTCCGGCAAATGCTTTACCACGGCTTTTCCCTGTTAAAACAAGGGCTCGGTAAATGTTTTACCAACTCCAGTAAATTAAATCTTTTACCAGCTCCGGTAAATGTTTTACCAGCCTCAGTCAGCGGGAAAGCGAATTCCATTATATGAACAACGAGCCCAGTTTTTCAGAAAACCTGCTCGGTTTTTCAGAAAACCTGCTCGGTTTTTCAGAAAACCTACTCAGTTTCAACCACCCCCGCTAGGACTAAACCAGTATTAAATGAGCCACGAGACCTTGCCCGAATGAGCCACCAAACCCTGTCTGGATTGACCCCCAAATCCTAAATCATCCAGAGATTTAGCACCAAACCCACCAAAGATTTAGAACCAAACCCTGCCCTTTTTATTCCAAAAGACAGCCCTTTGTCTTTACACCTTCAAAAGCTCGTGCCTCAAATAGCCTCTATCGCCACCATCTAAATAGTAATAACTCTGCCCCAGTTTCTTTTCAATTTTTGTAATTGTCTGTTTAGTTTTTAACCAATGGCTCGTTTTCTCCTTTTCACTAATTCCTTTCTTTCTCATAACCTTCACCTCATCATTAACATTCAACTCGGGATATATCCTTGTTTTCTTTGCTTGTAAAGATATATTCAATTTAACTTCAAATTCATGTTTCGGGAGTTTTGCTTGGGATGGCGTGAATTTAGTTGTAGAGTTGTAGAATGAATATGTTTGTTATTATATGTTAATAATATCTCAAAAATATAATCTATCCATTGAATGTTTGCTTTGCCTTTTTTTTCATCGGCTTCAACCCTTTTATATAGCTGGTCTTTGAAAGTTCGGATGCCACGCTCACTGTATTGGGCGTGTCCTCTGGTTCTGTGGTGTTCTATATTATGTTCTTTCAGATAGTCTTGTATAGATGTTGTATTCAACGAGCCTTCATCATCGGTATATAAAAGTTTCGGTGTTCCACCCATTTTATTAAACCCTTCAATTAACGCACTTGCTACATCTCCTTCGCTTTTGCTTTTAATAGGTATAACAACCATATACTTGGAGAAGGCATCTATCATTATAGCACCAACTTTAAACTTTTGGTCGGGAATGTCATTTATAAAGAACAAATCAAATTGGAATTCCCACATTGCTTTTTTCGGGATAAACGAATTCTCAGCTCTCATCTTTCTTTTCTCTTCAACATTTTTTCTAAAAAACTCTTCCACATCTTCTTTTGTGATACTGGCGTCCTTTTCCCTACTGTCTTT